TTATTTCCTTTCAGATATTTAGAATTTGATTTATAACTTTTTTTCTTTCTTTTTCTTACTAAAATTGAAAGAAGAGGAAGTTGAACACAGTTGTGTATATACTAAAAAGATAAAAAGAACTTGTACTATTGTATGTCACAATGTGGTGAGTATACTCACCACATTGTGACATACAGTAGAGCTTCTGCGGCTAGTCCTCGTCGCTTTCCGGAGAGCTAGTACATGGTTAGTGAAGTGTATATGGGAAGTTCAAATAGATATGAGAAAGAACTCTGCGTCAGGCCAGCCTTCTAACCAGAGCTGCCATTGATTACTAGTAACGAGATGGGTGACCATGTCTGACGCTTGTCAACTGCAGGGAAGATGTCCGGCTATTGAAACTGACATTCGGCAGCATGCTACACCGCTAACGGTAGCCTCAAGGCAGGATATTCGGACAGTTCCTTTATTAATAGAAAGCCTCCTATTATAAGTATTTATTTTTTAGATAAAATGGAATCTGTACAATTTAAAAATGATCATGAAATTGAAGATAATAATTTAAATCATCAACAGGAACAACAACAAATTGAACATGTAGAACAATATATTCCTCATTTACTTCAACTTGTATCTGAAACAAGTTCTATATTACATAGTCCAATAGAAGAAATGTCTTTAGAAGAAATTTATAGTCGTGAAACCAAACAAATTGTGGCAGACATGATTTATTCAATTCATCCTAAACAATTAGAATTAGCTAAGGCACCGTATAGAAAGGCAGCTGGTATGGCAGCTAATCAATGGAACATAAATAAAAGAATATTTTTATTTTGTCCAGATGGTAGTGATCAAGAAGTAAAAGTTATATTTAATCCAACCTATAAATCACGTCTATTAGCTCAAAGTCATACAAGTGAATTAAAAACAATACCATCTAATCATATAACAGATTTTAATCAGGAAGGTTGTTTTAGTGTTCCATATGCATATGGAACAGTTGAACGTTATAAACATATTGAAATTAGTTATATTGATGATAAAGGTATAAAACATATGAATGAACAATTGTCAGATTGGCCAGCTAGAGTATGGCAACATGAAACAGATCATTTAAATGGAATATTATATTCAAATAGACAATCAGGAATTAATAACGGACCAAATTGTATCGAATTACACAGATTTCAAACAAAAGATGAATTTGAAAAATATCGATGAAAATAACAATGGAAAATATCATTTGAATGTCTATTTTCTGTCATTAGTATTGACAAAAAGGACAATGTTTATGCATTTTTTCTTGTTTAATTGATGAAATTTTTGTGGTTGTTATTTTGTACAATAAATTTCTCACTTTTCTGCAAGTTAATGGGAACGTGCATACGAGTTTTTAAGTCTAATTTGCATTCGTTGCAAAGATTCCTAGATTCTTGTCATGCAGGAAACTAGAAATTTAGGACTCTACGGATAAAACAAATACAAAGAGTCTTCATCCTCTCAGTTGTATCTGTTCGTTGTCCCAAATCCTCACTCTGATTTTGAGAGTATTAGAAAACTCTTCCCTTTTCCCCCTTGTGCTGAATCCAGCCTCGTAAGCTTGATTGTACACTCTCGTCGTTTGTTATTATTTTTTGTTTTTTAACCGAAAAGACCTGACCTTGTTAAAAAAGAGCAGTCTTTAACTTTAACACTATTCTTGATTTTTCACTTTATTCTAGATCGAAACTTATAAAAAGCAATGTCGTCATCATTATCACATATTTGGTTTCTCATTTCTATAATTGTTATACTCGCTGTTCAGTTAGCCGTTGATAAGGAAAATTGTTCGCGTGTCGCGTTGTCTGGCGCTACGACGATATCGTTTGAGATCATCATTCATTTGCGTTCCACAAAATCTCTGACCTTTATTTCGGCGGGAACGATAGCCAGCCACTAACTATAATCTGTTCATGTGTGTGTATCTGCGCGTCAGAGACTGCACACGGAACGACATGCATATAAACATTTAAGAAAGACTTCGCCAGCTCATCGACAAAGTGCATAACATGCAAAAATTTGACATATGATTTCTATTTGATCTTCAGATTCTACAATCAAAACTAGGGTAACGAAAATAATTTGTTTACTTCCACACTTTATTTTCACCGAGTTAGAGTTTTCAAAATGAGGTGAATCGAAGAATAGCAAAACTGAGCACCGTCTCATATTTTCGACATAACTCCGTCATTTTTTATTCGTTCTGGTCGACCAATGTCTCATTCGATAGACCATCAAAAACTAAACCAAACCAGGTGCCCTCTCTTTTTCTAAATTCAATATTTACAGGTTCATCAAGTGAAAGATTATGATTTTCACATACAAATACGTTTTGGTTGTAGAATCTGAAAATCAAATAAAACTCATATGTCAAATTTTTGCATGTTACGCGTGTTTCACAATATACTCGCTTTCCTCGCGAATTGTCTCTTAAGTCGTATGCCCTACGTTGCAGCCAAAGAAAAAGTAACTTGACCAATGAAAAATGGTCTAATTTCAATAAAAGTACAATATGTGAGTAGGGTAAATCCCTATCATTTTTATAGAGGAAATGGCGGAACGAATGCTCTGTAAATTAGTGTTCCATCTGCTTATCAAATAACCTAACACACATTTACACAATGACGGATAAGTACTTCGAGTATTCCCATTCCCGTTTGGCTGCAAATTAAAAGGCAGTTTATGGCGAGTAATTTTGAAAACAATCTGAAACTAAACTGTATTAAAGTTTTTTTTGACATTTGGATCATTAAAGTTTTCATTCTTTGAAAGGATATTAAAAAAAGTTAAAAACTCATTTTTCGTGATCATCTCGATCTTCTCTCTATTAAGTAAATATAATAGTTCCATAACGCATCGGCCGCCTAACAGTAGACAGAAAAAAACCTGTTATTCTAGTTTAGGCTCTTTCACATATTTAAATTTTTCTATATTTATGTTAGAGCAAAAGAGCTTAAAATAAAACAAACAAACAAATCAAGCACGAAACTGAACTAGCGTATTTTACATGTTGGACAATAATATTCGCTTCTTGATGCTACGTTTAAATCACCTATTCCATCAAAATATTTCTCATAAGCCAGTCGATGTAGTCTCTGATCTACAGTGTAAAAGAAACAGAATAATTTTTAAGAAATGAAATGAAAAATCTGATATTAATACAAACCTGAACAGTTGCAACATTTTTTTTGTTGATCACAAATTACAGTCATGTTAACAAATTTTTTGTTTTTTTTTCCTTTCTAAGATCAAAATCTTCTGTGTCTGTAATTTCTCTAAGATGAATAATATTCAGTCCACGAACTGGTCGTACTCTCTGCGTAATGAGAAATTCAGTACCTGGCATTAGCACAACTTCATTATCTTTCGGTGAAAAATATGAATAATTTTGAATTAGTTTCCCGCTTACACAGTTCCGTTGACCAGTTTTACCAAGAAATTCTGCTGATGAGGGAACCGCCCCAGGTGCCTAACTCCGATTTCATTCATTCATACCTCGTTTTATAGAGCACATCGAGCTGGTAAAAAGCCTAAAAGGATTTTTGCCTATGGCTCTTGAAGTCTCGGTTTTCTGC